ATACCGATTAAAATAGTAAGACTGAATATTCGAGTCATTTTCCTTTTCAAGTTTCTCGGATATTTCATTTATAGAATAAAATTTAAGTATTTCCTTACTATCTTTTCCATAGAATACCCTGCATCAATTCTCGATCCTTTTAGCTACAGATGAAGTTATAAGAATTAACTACTTTTTAAGTCTTCAGTTTAAGCCCCTAAAACTCCAAATAGAATGCCTGTGACTTAAACAAGATAAGATAATATCGGTTCTTACGTAATGCTGGATTATAGGAAGACATAATACAAGGTTAGGTGTGCATGCCAAAATGCTCGAAAAACCTAGAAACATGAAAAAGAGACAACAAAACATCTATTTAGTCATTGTCCAGACATTTCCAGATGCTGGTTAAAGCTTAAGCTTATGCATGCCATATTCATTGACTCATTTAGAGTTATACGATATAGACAACGTTAAAATTGGCCAGATATTTAAACTCACCAACGCAACCAGCTACATATTATGTGGGAATCAATCCTCCATATAATGTGGAAATCAATCAATAATAAATAAATTAATGACTTTGGGCTATGCAAGACACTTGTATTGTATCTATAGAATCTAAGTGGCTAGTAACATAGAAAGCAAATTCTAATATAACGAAACGTAGCTTTTGTTCTATAGGAGGGTCTACTGTGTGAGTAGTATTTGAAATATGGTATAACGTTTTTGATAATTGTATGAGTATTAAGGCCACCCATTTCAAATATGAAAAATAACGAATTTGTGTTTTAGATTTACAAAAGCAATAAATAAACATTACCTTTGACAAGATGTAATGAATTTTCCCATAGGGAGATATTTAATAAAACCGCAAAAAAAAAGTAATTTGTAACTATTTGCTCGATGTGTTCTATTTTTACTTTATCTACAGTATTTTCGTTTTTATGATAATAATTTTAACCGCTTTATATGAAATGAAAATCTTATAATCATATCCTTAACAAAATGTGTACCTAACAGGCGTTTGACTTGATTAAGAGCTACTAACAGAAAAGTGCAAGCAACCAGCTCGGCGCCTGAACGACTCATATTTTTACCAGTAGCCGAGTTCGTTTGCCCCCATTCACTGCTAAACCTATTTTTACAGATGGCTTTTCGATAGTAGTAATAGCAGCAGTCGGAGAGACCTGATCCTACCCTGACGGATTAAAGGCGTAACATAATAGAGAGGATCAGATGGAAATTGACAACAAATGGCTCTACTGGAATAAGGAAAAGGAGCTGAAGTGTGGTAACAGTGATGGAAAAAATATACTACTGGCCTTTTATGGTACTAATCTGGGGTCAATAAATATTTTATATTACTATATACTATAAAGAAGCAATGTAACTCGAAAAAACGAAGACTGTAGTTTTATTTTAATTCAATAGAAATTTTAAATATTTTAGCATTTAATAAAAAAGTTCTAATAAAGAAAGTTAATTATTGCAATTTTATAACTTATGTAAACACATTTGATATTTTCTTTTTGCTTGAAGCGTGAATGGAAAAAACCTCGGGAAGGGCAGATGAAGTGTTTGAACAACTCAGATCGCAGTCAAAAACTGTCATAAAACTTCAACAATGGATTGATGCTAAATCAACTGATAACAATAGCTAAAAAAACAGGATTAAAGGAAGATCTGACAAACTATAATCAAGCAAATAAACGTTGAGAAGAATTTCTCCAACGTAAAAGCGTGAAGCACTATAATGAGCTATGTCAATAGGAACAGCTAAAGATAGTAAATCCTTTTGGAGCAAAGTTCAAAAATTTAATGGTACGTGTCATATAAAAAGTGTAGAGCTAGACGCACTAGAACTTGCCAAACACTTAGAGCGGTTATTAAATAGCAGCATACGTAATAGCTTAAGATTTGCGATGTCAGAAGTCAAAAAAATATTGCACAAGTGTAAGGATAATAAAAGTCCTAAAGACGATCGGGTACCCATGGAACTCCTAATATATGCTATATATTGAGAATATGACTATGATATGAATATGAATAGCATTATTATACTATATTAATATATATATACAATACCATGGCGAACGTATGTGCAAGTATTTTTCATGAGTGCCTACAAGACTGGGTGGAAAACCGAGCACTTTTAGTTAAATATAAACTTTTCCAAACTGCGGTCAACTAAATTATGAAATATGCGTCCCAAGTTTGGGGATCAATAGCAGTTTTTGAAAACTGGCTTATCGGCACTACATTTCAGCACTCTAAAATTCCATTTTCAATATATTAACGCTTTTATGAACCAACTAGATAGTAAATTTCCTAAAGGACATACTTTCTTGGTAGAAGAAGTTCTTTTTTTGCTGCATGATTAAATTTAGTCGAACAGCGTAAAGAAGATTTCGATAGTTGGATTGATTGGCAGCAGCTCTCTTAAAACTGGATCAAGCCAATAGAGACTAACTTGTTTATAAGGCCAAAACAAGCAATTCCAGACAAACGTACATAGAACGAACTTACAATCTGGGGACATCAAATTATTTTAATGATGAAGATACAGTTGAAAACACTCGTATAATTTTCAAATCTCATACCGAGCGCCTCAAACTGAATTACCTATCCTATGTAAGTGGTGCTATATCGCTTTGTAATGCAAAACGTTAGCCATTTCGTTACAATCTGCCCAATTTTAAAGAAAATAAGACATATTATGACGACTGTCTCTTTTTGATATCTTTTTGAAAAAGAAATAAGTGTAGTCGAGCTGAATATATATATTTTCTTTTAACAAATAGTCAAGAACTAAAATCTTTATTTTGCTTTTATAAGGATATTATCTAACAGATTTTCTGTTAAAGTTGTAAAGATATCAATATTTATTTATTATTTGTGTACAAATATTATATCTCCAACTATCATTTATTTATTATAAATGGACAGTCATTCAAGAATGTTCAACAGGCCATTGACTCATAATATCCTATAGCATAACTTAGTAATTTTAACTTGGTAAGAATTGTGTTTGTCGACAGCAGAATCAAGCTAAATTAAAGCACCAAAATTATCGTAGAGAATAAACTAATATAAAACCGAATTTGAAATGTCTACTAAGTGCAGTTGATTGGAATATGAATATTAATATAGAATTTAAGCAATGTTGTTCACTAAATTGGATCAATATTCGTGTAACACAAGTGGCATGAAATTGTAATATTATTTGAATGTTTACCGGAATTTTAATTGTGCAATATTGCATACCCAAAACTAATAAAAAAAAGTATTCACGACAAGATATATATCGCCTGCTAATTTATATTGGTTTGTATTTATAGCAGTCAAGTAGTAGCTCTTTTCGATTCAATTTTAAAAGTAAAATATTAATTTATTTCATGGAACGTGTTTGTAACAATGTTATTCAGAGCCATCAGATAAGTCATTAATAAAGTAGCACATTAAGTTTACTTGTAGTCATATCGAAAGTATTTGAATATAACAGCAGAAGCACAAAATCACCAAAGACAGTACATGCTTGAACAAAATTCGCAGACTGTACTATATAGCTGGATAGGCACCGGAAGGAAACAATACTGAACCACTGCTTTCATTGTCGGCACTAAAACATTCTACGAAATGCGTTTTTGAGATGAGATTGCAAAAGATCGGTAATAGTGCTGATTACTTAAGACAAGAATTATACTTCGCTAGATTCAATAGAATATTTTGAATAGAGAATTTAGGTAAGACTAAAGTTATGACAACCAAAATCAAAGTCTATTTTAAAATTCAAGGATAATGTTTCAATAGAAAAGGGAAAAATAATATTAGAAAAACATTGAAAGTTCAATACTTTCAATGGAGATGCAATGACTTCGCTTGTACAAATTTAAATCTTCGGATATTTTGAAAGTATATTAGCGAACTGCATCGATGCTTGCAATTGTCAGTAGAGAACCTAATTACAAACACATTGTGTACTTTTATCTATATAAAGTGTGAGCATATATCTAATATGTATAGTAAAAATATATATATTCTGCACTTTATCTATCACGCTAACAGCTTAAGCAAACAGGCCATCTACATTTTTTATTATGCTATGTGCATAAGTCTAAAATTGTACACTAGTGCTAATATTAAATATTATTTAAAAAGTATATGACGGATCAAGCATTAGACCATTTTCACTGAAATTCCCCAGATAAAAAATGTTAAAATATTTTTTAATAGCAAAAGAGAATAAGAAAGGGAGGAAATTTATATACAAATACAGGTTTTCATTTCCGGTCTCAAGACACAAATCCATATACTCTTAATGCAAACGTATTAAGAAAAATACTGTACTTTTTATACAGTAACTGACATTTGCACAAAATTCGTAATTTTTATTTTTTGATGTTTTGGGTTTTGTGGCAATACGGAAATACACATGTTTGTCCAACTTTTATCCAATCTGGAACGTACCTACATAAGTTCAATTTACATACTGGTTTGAATTTAACTTCTGTATCTCTTTTGCCAGAAACAAGTCCGTCAATATTTAATATGCAACAAAACCATTGCTGCTGATGCAGCTATAAGCTAATTCCCAGTGGTTAACTTCTAATACACTTAAGTACCACAATGCCCTTATGAGTCAAAAGCCAAAAATCGCCGAAAAAGATTATTCGAAAGAGAATAAGTATTCAATAAAATCATTTAGTTGTGGTTGCATTTTACAAGTAGGCATAGATACTATATATCGTATTTGTAATGCATCCCATGACATATTAAATTGAAACCGTAACAGTTACAGAAAACTTACAGTTAGAAGTAGAAAATAGTGCAGCCTGATTAAATATTCAAGGTAATTCTCTTCTGAAAGCAGCCTTGATATGTCCCATCAAAAATAGTCAAAATATTTGTTTTAATTTTGAATTTGATTTTATTTGCTGTTTTGTTTGATATGTCAATAAATTACATTAATAATACTATTATTTCATCCTTAAAAATAACACAAGTTATGAATAAAATAAATCCATTAATAAAATTATGATGATCATACCACATGTTCAGCATTTCAAGCACACTTCTTTCGTCTGCGGTAGTAGAATCCACGACTTTTTGCACTTCGAACTAGAAACTTGTCTTGAAACCAATTAGAAATTCTATATTATGAAGAAATAAAATGATAAGTAAATAAAAAGATCTTATTAAAAAAATTCTATAAAAGTTTATTCTACGTTAAACAACTGCACATTTTACATAAATAGCTGTCATAAATTCTTCGCTGCGATTCTTTTCGAGAACTCTGAAGAACCATCAAAAACTGACATCAGAAATCTTATACCAATAAGTTGAAGTTTCCTACACAATTTAGGATGTATTCAATACGACCACTAGGTTAACTCAGCAGTTGCATATGCAGTTTGAGTAGAGTCTAGCATACAGTTTCACACTCAGCAAATTAACTCAATATGTGCAAAAATAATTGACATCGAAATCAAAAATCTCACTTAATATGCTGTGCGACGCCTTATTTAAAAAAAATACAATACCAAACATACAATGCATTGACAGCTCCAAGCATACTCCTTTCGCCCACAATAATCGAGCTAACCAAGCATTTCACATTCACACAGTAAGCCAGAAGGTCACTTAGGATAGAGTATGGTATTATCTTAAGAAAATAAATGTTAGAGCATTTTATGAGTACAAACTATTTTCATAGAGAGTACTTACGGGAACAAAAACATTCTAAGCAAACTTCTTTCGCTCACTCTGGAAGACTTCTTATCGTGATTCACATAGCTGACCAGAAGATCTTGAAGTTACTGAGTAACTGGGGACGCTATTTCGAAAAAAACGGAACAATTTTTATTCATTTATGAAGAAAGAAATCGTAAGCGAGAAAAAAGTACTCACAGGTCTACAATTTTTGAATAATGGGGTTTTCAATAAAATTTATATTAGAAAAAGTTTCAATGATTATTTTCTATTTTCTCCTTGTTTCCTATATTCTCTTGCTTTTCTTTAGTCTCTAATATGAAAATATGAAAATATGAAAAAAATTATTTGAATAAAACACAATTTTTTTACTTACTGCTTTTGGGCACTTTTCCCATCGGAAGGTAACTTGGACCTCCCTCATTAGGCACAATTACATATTTTTAATAAAGATTATTTAATAAATTATTCGGAAGTCTTCTACTGGTCAATTGGAATTTCATTAGTTTTTATTTAATAAATTCTTCGAAAGTCTTTTAGTGGTCAATTGGATTTTGATTAGTTTTTTATTCTTTACTTACATATTGATCAGATCTAACTTATTCAAAAGTTCCTAACACCTTCTTGATATGGTCACAATTTTTTCAGTACTGTCACATCTAATATTCACTGACTTATTAATGTATTCTTATTATTGAGACGACTCCATTTCGTCTGTTTTATTTTTGTGTATAAGTTGTCTGCATATAAAAATTTGCGGTTTTAATAAAATGTTAAGGAAAATCACCTGAAAGAAATTAATCTTACGATTTCTAACTGGAATGTTTATAAATTCTGTAGTTAATAATTTAGAATTTTGAAGAAGTGTCTCGAAAATAAAACCGAAAGTTAGACCCAGAAGTGCGAAACTCACTCCTGTAAGTTTTATTTTTAAATGAAATGTTTATTATATATTTGACATATAACTCTTCATAAGTGTTTTTAAATTCTCAAAGTAGACTTGATATAAAACGTAGAAAAAATGTTAAATGTGAAATGTTATTAAAACCGCAAAATTTCCAATGGTGTATTTATTATATATTATATTTAAATAAAATTTTTATAATTATAGCATAAAAATATTAATTTAAAATGGCTTTAATTTTAAAGGTATTTTTTGAAAAATGGAACTCACTTCATATTTATATGCACCAAATTTTGGTGGAATTCTATTAAAAAAAAAATATACCATAAAAAATGTTTTTTTATATATATAAATTGAATGGATTATTATATTTTATTTAAAAACAAATTTTTTAAGAATGGTGTTATATTTTGAAGTGTTACTAAAAAATTAATTAATCACTCAACTTATGTCAAACGCATGTACATCACAGCTTTAAAGTCCAGTCCGTGCTAAAGAGTATCTCATGTAGTTTATGTGATAGTCTGTGTAGTCCTTGTATATACTTTTATGTAAGACTTTTGTTTAAATATATACATAAGGAGTTAATGATTTCGACTAGTGATGAAGTATTTAGTATCAGTTTCTGTTATATAACTTTTCTATAGTATATTGTCTGCAATTAAGAGTACCCTTAATTCTGCTTAAAATAAAATTCAAAATCAGACCAAATTAGCATTAATTTTTGTGATAAAATTTTTTCATATCGAAGCTCTTATTTAGAGGTGGACGAAATATTGCTTTGGTAGATGTATTGTCAAATGGTTTTATGAACAATATGAGGAAATAGCAAGTCTGTCTATAAGAAATCATACTTTCAATTTAATGCTAAATTAGCCAATTTGTGATGAAAAAAATATGAGTAAAAATAATATAGTCTAAAACTACTTCAGTTTAGATCAACGACTTAAAACGCTAATAGAGTGAAGTAATCATTGTCAATGTCATATACCCATATATAGGACACTCATATATATTATCATATGTCCAATAAATTTCAGTTTTTGTGATTTCCCCGAAGGCAGCGTCTAGTGAAGCTGAGAAATATGTCGTCATAGTTATCTTTATTAATGACAAATTAAGAAGTCGGAAGCTAGTTAAGCTCTTGAAGATGATACAAAAGCAATCATCACAAGATCTAAAAGTGCAAGCATCAGATTTTGTATAACAATGGAAAAATAACAAAAAATAGCAAAAATTATTCAAAATCTTATACATTTTTGTTACGAAGATTAAAAATTTAATTGAATAAGATGCAGATTTTGCAAAAATCTTTTTGGATGGCGTGATATTGAGCATTCATTGTAAAATGCCAAAACTGTTTATTTTCTTTATTTGCGTTGAAAGTATGTTAAATCGGCAACTATTTTTTTAAAAATCTGTTTAGAAACAAAAACATTTATGACAAAAAAAGTTTTCCAACCAAACCATAACGATCTCGCCAGTATAAGAAAAAACAGCCTAAACTTGTATATGAGTGGTTGCTCTTTTACAAACAGTCGGGATTTTGACTAAGCTTCACTTAATCATCACCAATTTTATCTGTAAGTTTTTTAAAAGCTATTGAAATAAAATTAAAATACATGCACCTGAAAAAAAGGATCACTTTTTACGATGAAATAATAATTATATGTAATAAACAGAATAGAAAAAAATTAAATGCACTGATACATTCGTAGCTCTCTTATTATGGATGTTTGGCAAGCCACCCAAACCACCCAAAAGGTTTAAGAAACGCTACCCAGAATATGTGTAATGCTGCCAAAAATTCCATTAAATTATTTCTTAAAACGAATAAAATATTTATTCAAATGGGAAAAATAGTTAATAAAAGTAAACGTTAATAAAGTCAACTACTGGTCGTTTCCAAGTTTATCATTTTTTCACAGAGCACTGTTTTCTTTTCAACTGCCACTTCAAAAATCAGAAAGTACACGTTTCTCGTTTAAATTAAAAATAGTAAGAATAATCTATTGGCGATTTTCGTTTCAATGACACGATACAAGTTCTACCATATAAGTAGAGTGTTTGATGTATACCTTCAAATATTTACATATAGGCTTACTCTATTGTGTTATTAGTGGTATCATTTAAAAAATTTTTAATAATAGGTTTTTTCGAGCAGTAGTAAACTACAACAACAAAAATTAATTTTATATTATTTTAATTAATTGAATTTTTGGCTGACCATAGAGCTGCTTTGAGTATTTCCAAATACCCATCATCAATCATCACCCATCATCATCATCAGGTCTTAGAAATAATTTCATTATTTATAAATAATTTTTTGAGACTGCAAATACCAGAAATCGAACTCTTGCCCTGCCAAATTTGAAGCTCAGAGTCAGTGCACATTAACCAACTGACCCAAAGCCGTACTTGACTTTTAAGTTCGTACATTTTTCTGAAGTTTTGTTAATTTGCTCTGAAAGTTTTAACAAATTCACTTGCTGTGTTTATTTTAAAATTTTATTTTAATCGAACTTAGAGGTCTAATATTCAAACTATCACCTTTCAATACGGCTTTACATAACCCAAATATCACAACACTAACTCTAATATCAGGAATGTGATAGCTTCATCATTGTTAGTAGATGAGGTACATTTATTGCCTTCAAAAATGTTTGCAAATAATGTAGTGGTTTTAATTGGATCAGATTAAAAATTCAACACTTTGAAGTGATTAAATTTTCGAATATTCCTGGTATTAAGAATATTCCCTACACGCACACAAATTTCAAATTAAAACAATTTTGTGTTCACACTTCAATGGAAGTTGGCATGATCTGAAAGATGATTGTTGGCGGCCAACTTTGCCAACAAAATTGCCATACGCTGAACATTAAATTAACCCACGGAGAGAGGAGCGCAACTTCGTTAATAATTTACTGAATTTAAAGTGAAATAATCGATTTGGCTACTTATTGGTTAGGAAAGATAATAGTACTGGGAAAGTACTAATAGTACAGCTAGTTGCATATGGTGAAGATTCTATTGGATGCTCATTTTTAGTGGATTTTAATTTTGCAGAGTTTTGGTTTACATTTAAACACATTTCCATATTTTTAAGTCTGCTGTAATTTTATTAATTAAACGTATTCTGTTTGCTTATAATTATTTAAGTAAAACTTTTGAACCGACTTATTAATTAGGCTAATAGTAAAAATTTAAGGCTATTAAAGACCTATGTGTGAAGAATTTTTATTCTTCTTTTCCTCACAAAAATACTGAGCAATATTCGCTTTCTTCTATGTGAGAAAAATTTCTACGGATTTGTACGGATTTGATAATTCTGTAAAATCTAGGATCAGTAGTCCCACGGAATACTCAAAGTTCTATGGTAAGTGTATGTTTAACCCATATCCGTCCAAGGGTTTTTTTTTTCGAATTTTTGGTCACAATGTTTTTTAATGCTTAATTAGTACTGGGGTAGAGGGTATGGCGTGAAGTCACAAATATTTTTGTAAAGCTAAAGAACTCTAAAGTTTTTCTAATATAAACAAAAAATCCATGAAAAGTGGTAAAATTTGCTGTTCGATTAATGAAACGTTGGGCTGATATAGGTTAAAAACTATATGGGAGACAATGGAAGGAAACATTTTAAAAATGTGATGTTATGTCAAACAGTCAAACTAGTCCTTATCTCTATCAAAATTTATTCAGAAATGCTGGACAACTGCTTATCATTCGTCAATAGATGAGGATCAAGCAGTTACATTGTTTTGTGATAGTCGTCAGATAATGAAGAATACGAAGAACACGAAGTCAGCCATTGGGCTGTCCCACTGTCCCACTAAACGAAACTACTGTGTACTCTTACGAAAAAGCACATTATCTATGATACTGTGATAACGCTCAATTTATAAACTATAAGATCAATAACAAAGACGAAGTAAAAGATGTTCAGCAGAGAGCTATCTTGCGAATTGACTTGTTAACCCTTATATTGTTGTTGTTGTGATTTGAGTTAGTGCTACTGCGCACTTTTACTCTTTTGTGGCTGGGAGGCGTATCCCTGCCTCACACTAAGCTTTAACTATACTAGAACTATTATCATTTATTTATCTTTTAACTGATGACGGACTGTAGATTAGCATATCTTCCTGTGCGTCCCGAGGTGGACTTAAGGTTTGTTAGGGAGGGGTTGGGCAACGTATCAACTTTTGTGAATAATTTTAGGGCTCTGTCCTTGATACATTTTTTCACTGAGTCGATCCTTAGATCTCTATGCGTGTCTGTTGTTCTAATATACCAGGAATCGTAATTAGTCTTCTTAAAGACAGATTTTGTGCTATCTGTAATTGCTTTATAATATATAAAATAAAACAATAAGGTCATAGATGCTCTCGTTCAATCAGACTCTAATGATCAATTACAATTGCTTTGGTTAAACCGCCTGAGTTAGAATGTTAAGTGTTTCTAACTTAATAAATAAAATAATACTTTCTCGCTGTTGTAGGAGTGCGAGGGATATAAGAAGAAAAGGATTGATGATTGATAGTTAAAAAAAAATGATTTGTGTTAAGGATTGAATATTTTGTGACACGCAATATTTATTTGGATTAAAACTAAAAGTATGTACTTATATTTAAGAAAACCTACAGACAGTTAGGTATACATTTTTTAATAAAAAATTTATTTATATAGTAAAAATTAAATACTTAATATACATTTTCTGTGCACCAAATAAGGAAACAAAAAATTTTGAAGGACCAAAGTGCTATGTTTTTCTACCTCAAAGCAAAACTTTGAATAAAAAGTTATAAAACATAGTAAAGTATTTTGATGGGTCCCAATAGCTTTCTCCATGATTTTCACAAAAGAACTAAATGGAGCCTGTTTTGTGATTTTATTCATAAAGTCAATGGAATAGTTTTCCCATTAAATTAAAATACAAAGATGTCTTATTATATATATTTACTAAAGCAAAAGAGAAAATAAGGAATATCAAGATTTTTTTCCATCTTGAGCGCAGTTCGTTTTCA